ATGTTCTTACTATTGACGTGTCCTAGGGAAATTAAATAAGACGCATAATTTCTTCCTCTCTATTTTGGTAAGATAAAATTCGTAGAAAAAGAGCAAAATGTGAACAAGGAAATACGGTATTCATCTAAAATTTTATTTTTTAACGTTTATAATAGAATCTAAGTTAGGTCCTATTTTCGAGTAAATACGGTATTATAAGACCATATGTAGAATATATCCGTATAAGTGTTCCAGCGTAGGATTCTCGACATGTAATTTAACGAATTTATAATATCAGATTGGTAAAGTCTGAAAGCGAAAGCTTAAAACAGAATTATCAGTATAATGAATAGTAAATACCGAAGACGAAGTTATGTTGGCAGATTAGTTCAACAAAACGTTTGACTACCGTATGTAAAAAAACTATTTCAAGTTGAGATCATAAATAGGGGTCTTATACAAATTGAACGGCGAAATGTTTGTGTGTGTGTATACATAACTAAAAATAAAATATCACTTTAGAAAAATTCTTCGATGTTAAGAGGTTAACTGATGAGCATTTCTAGCAGATTATTTTGAGATAGTACTGCTCAATATATTTTTTTTTTTCAAAATGGAGATCATCTTTGCAGAGAAATTACAAAATTCGCGTTCTAGAAAACACTGGCCGGCTTCAGTATTAAGAGGTGATCGTAATAATATTTTCGGTAGTTAAAATGAAAATTATATGTATTTCAATGAATTTTTGTACAATTATCCGATTATGATTCAAAAATAATAAAATTACAATTTATCATTAATAGCGTATAAAAATTCTTTGAGCGTACTAAATATAACACAATTATAAATTAAAAACACTAATAAATAACCAAACAAGATCATGGAATCGCATTTAAGCAGAAAATAATCTAGCTCGAAGCATTTTAATTTTCTAATTTACTTAATAACCGACCAATCAATGTAAATAGAATATGAAGTCGCCCATTATGAAATTAAATATCACATTTGTATTTTAGCTTTTACAACATGTAAAAAAATTCCCTAATATAAGCATAGGGGCAGGAGAAACGTAAAAAAAAGTTACATTTCGTAATTTTAACAGAACTGATTTTTTCAAATTTAGAAATGCCAAACGTATGGCAGTATTATTTCTTCGAAATACAAATATGCGTGTCTTTTGTAACATTAAGTACATATCTATGACCTAAGGGTGCAAAAACAAAAGCCGGGTAAAAGCTTTGTGTACACCGTGTATATACGATATTACAACCTACATTTCATGTTTTTTTAATGTTTCATTTCTGTTGAGAAAACTTAAGCAAAAAGCTGCCCAATCAATGATAACAACCCAAATTTGAGAGCTGTCATAATAATAGAACTTTACTATGAGACTTTTCGATTGTTTGAGACCAAAATGGAACGTAAGCGATGAAAAAAAAAAAAAAGAGATAACAAAGAGAGTATAAATGTTTGGATATCATTAATTATTCTCTTTCCTATTGAACTGTGCCCAACTTAATGAGTAATCTGATTAATTACCTAACCCTCTTCACTGAGTAATTTGACATTTTATTTTGGATTTGTCAAGCTTAGGGTGAAAAATAGCTACGTCTTTGCCATTACCTGAGCAAGCTCTTAATGAGGTATTAAATTTTAAAAAAAGGCAAGAGGAAAAAAAATTGAGCTAATAAGTCTTACGGGATAAAAAAATAACGTTTACGAAACACTCAAGCGATTTTAAGTGCGCCCTCTAGTGAGATCTACGTAAAGTAAGCTTCTTGATTTCGAGGATATTCGAGCGTGGATTAAATGGATGTGAAAGAAAGCAGTTACAGCGTTTTCCTTGAATCCATTTCCATCATCAAGTTAGGAGAAATTTACCCGAGGACGGTGTGGGGGAAATAAAATAGTTTAGTGATTGTTAATATAAAGGGATTTAGAATAATAGGATTAAGTTATCTTACTGAATATTAAATGTGAAGACTGATATTAAACTGGAACGGAAAATAATGAAGTGGCTCACATTTGTTTTCGGACACTTGCATTTATCAGTTTTATTTGCAAATATTGGGGGTTAAATATCTTAGCAAAATAACTTAATTTTATTTTTATGTATACTATTAATCATCTCTTTTAAAACCTGCTTGTTTTAAAAAAAAAGGTGTTCAAAACGTTTTGCATTAAAAGCATTATTAAAAAATATTAAATCTGAAAGCTTTCAGATTTTACATTACGCCCAAAGGGGCATTTTTTAACGGTTTGAGCGTTACATTTATTTATTAAATATCATGTTCTTCGCACTTAAACTATAAAATTCAATTCAACAGTAATATCGGAAAATAATTTTAAAATGATGATATCTTTAGAATTTTCGATTAAACAGTCTCACGCGCTGAAGATAAAAAAATTTTCCCCTCCCCATACAGTGTTGCCATCGCTCGCTTTGAAATCATTTAGGTTTTTAATAAAAAATTCTTTAAAGTTTTACAAAACGTAATGTGAAAATAGATAATAAAACAAATTCCAAATTCGGGCTTCCAGATGTCCACATTCGGGTGGAAACGTACGTTATTCAAAATTTGATCGCTTTAGGTACCATTGTTTTATCACAATGCCAGAAACATACATACATTTATGCAGATCCTTCATTATTTAATTTCTTTAAGCATAACACAGGGCGATAATATTTGGGGCAACAATTTGAAAAGTGAAACGGACAGTTAAAGTCGGCGGTTGTTCGCTAAGATAGAAACCATTATAAAGGCGCTCTGACATAATGGTGCCAGTATTTCGAAAACATGTGCTTTCTCTAAGTTGGAAGCTAAATTGTATAATGGTACTGGTATCTTTATGTGAAGATTTCGCCGAGAATCTTGTAGAGACATTAGGTATTTTGGAAGCAGAAAAGATGAAAAATATGCAGCGCTTTCGCCGAGAATCGAACCGCAGACCTCTCAATTATGTGCTGAACGTGTAGACCACTACACCCCGAAGGCTCGCTAAGAAGGTGGGAGAAACACCTTGTAATCTTAATAAATATGTTTTGTAATAAAGGTACCAGTACCTGGACGAAACTTCGTTTCTTTAAGTTATATATTTAACTTGATAATGGTGCCGGATTTATGAGTGTACGAGCCCCTTTATGCCAGAGCAGCCTTGGTAAACATAAGCCTACTCGTACACAGGTGCCGGTAACCTTCTGATAAATATCGCTCGAACATAAAAACCATCATGAGGGCATGGCACTCTGATTGATATATCTTTCTCCAAGTTATAAAGTGAATTTCATCTGGGTGCGGTACCCTTATGTCGGTGATCTCTGGAATAAAAACCTCTGCATAGGTGTTCTGGCCTTTTGATGATGGTTGCATTCTTTAGAGTATATATTAACTCCATAAAGGTGCTGGGCACCTACGTAATGATCAATGGGAAACTTGCAAATAATACCGGTTCGTTCTTTAAAATTGGTAACTATTCACGTAGCTCTCTATAGGAACGTCTCGTAATCTTGACGAAGGCAGAGTTTATCTTTTATAGTGAAATTCCTAAGACTGCCGGTACCTTTACTGAAATCGACGAGTATTCACTCAGATCTTCATTTGAGCGTCCCGGCATTTTGAAGAAAATTGCATTTTTTATGGCGCATTCTGAACTTTTTAAGGGTTACAGCCACTTCTTATGCTTGGCTAACTTGCAAAAGGTGGCTGGAGATGGATATGTACCCAAGGAAAACACACAGAGAGTCGGTTGCGTAGTTAAAACTTTCTCCGCCCGGGGAAGATCCTGACTTCACCACCTGGTGCAGTCCCTAAATTTGCGGCCCCTCTTAAATATGCCATGGAGGTAGGAAGTAACTTTTTTACCTCCATGTAATATGCAAACGAATAACGGCAAAAAGTGTCAAAATGACTTGTAGGGAAATTACACGGTTAATGTTTTAAGAAAAATCTTAATTCCGACCTTTTAAAAATTATATTACTATTATTATTATTGTCATGCTTGTATTTTTTTTTTTTTTTTTTTTTTTTTTTTTTTTTTTTTTTTTGGTTTTGTTCTGTTGTTGGTGGTGGTTCGAAAACCATCACTGACATTTTAGAGATCTATTTAATTGCTACAGTTGTTATTATGTAGACAGTAGCGAAAATTTCTTAAATGGTAAAATATACACCTATAGTTATTAAACGATTTTTATTCAGAAAACGTTTCTCAGCTAACAACGCTTACAACACTGGAGAGAAAGTTCAAAATAATATAACAAAATTTGGAACTTTTTTCTGGAGATCGTATTTTATAATAAAATGTAAAAGGAGTGTCCTGTCATGTTCGTGTTTTGATTGTTTTAGTAATAACGGATAAGTTCTGGAATACTTTTGTTTAACTAGCAATTCTTACTTATTAATATCACCGTGATCATAGTTTGTTAGATATCCGTAATACATTCAAAACGTTCTACAGAATAAAAACGGTATAAGTAAAGCATGTTAGCTGTTGAAATCACGATGTGATTTCTTTGAATATTTTATCTAAAGTAAAAAAAAAGCCTTTTTTCTTCTTAGTTTAATTCCGTAGGGCAATTTAGAATTTAATTATTTTGTATCTGCCATCATGATCATCCTGACTAGTTCTGTAAAATAACGCTTCGCGCAAAAAATTCCGTCCCTAAAAATGTGTCGCCTGCGGTGTCCTCTGGCTGCGCCACCGTGAGAGTCAAATCTCCTACTGGTATCGAACCTGCACCATGCAATTCTGATCATTTTATAGCGCATAATTTTACAGGGTAAATATAACTATTTTATGCATTGGAAAACAAGAAAACTGATAATTCGTTTTTCTTGCTACGTTCCCTTTATTGCAGAACTCCATCCCACATGAAAGCTTCACAAGTCACGTTTGAAAAAAACATTATAGGAATCTTTGAAATTGCGTTAAAGCTTGCAAAATCTTAAAAATTGATAAACGCAATCAAAAAACAATGAAAAATAAGTGATTAAAAAGATATTATTTAAATCATGTGTACATACCGCTCATATGAAGCAATTTCTTAAGCGTCTCTTCATTTAGTTAAAATTATAACATTAAGTTGCATACATACCTGAAAAGAAAAAAAACATTATATACAGAGAGTACATTGTAATAGTATCACTTATCCTTAAATATTAAAAGATATTTATAAAAGAGATTAAGATAGGTTAGGTTAGGTCCCCCAGTAGTCCGGAAACCGTGGGTTCCTTGAGTGTGGCTCTTCTACAAAATAGCTAACACATGCGGGCGCGCGCACGTAAAAGCAAAAAAATCTTGAAAATACAACACAAAGGCCGTCGCATTTTACACAAGCATGAAAACAACTAAAAACATATCGGTCAATGTTATGCCTAGGATTTTTTTTGTATCGATTTCGGGGTTTTGATTTTAATGATTATACATCAAATTATGCTGTCGTAGTAATTATCATATGAACCGCGAATTTCAGGTTGAATGGACTGAGACTTTCGCGTTTATTCGAAGCTCAAATGGCCGTCCGACTTGTCTTATTTGTCAGGAAAAATTGGCTAATAACAAGAAATCAAATGTGTAGAGACACTTTACAACTAAACACGTGTCATTTAGTACTAAATACCCTATCAGTGATGAAAGGAAGAAAGCAGTTGAGGAGCTTCAGAAGAGTCAAGAAAAATCAAGTTCTGTATTTAATTACTGGATGCAATCATCCAATAATGTTAATGTCGCAAGTTTTGTGATTAGTCAAGAGATTGCTAAAAGAGGAAAACCATATACAAATGGAGAATGCATCCGAAGAGCTATTTCGAGATTTTAAGAACAAAGCGGATATTCTAAAAAACATTAAAGAGTTACCATTGTCTGCTAAAACAGTGAAAAATCAGTGAAAATGTCTCCGAATACAGTAAACCAGCAAGCCGAAGATTTTGGTTTCCGCTTTATCGATAACAGTTGACGAGTCTTGTGACATAAATGGTATAGCGCAAGTTTCACTTTTTGTACGATTTATTTCACCTACAGGTTCCAAAGAAGAATTTTTAGGATTATTGCCACTCAAGGTCAAACACGTTTAGAGGATATAGCAAATGGTGTAATTGGATGGATTGAAAAACATCATATTCCACTCGATAAAACTGTTTCAATTGCAACAGATGGGGCGAAAATTATGACCGGCGTAAAAAATGTGTTTATTGCTATTCGCAAAGAAAACATCAGTTACGAGATGCTTACTTACCATTGTATCACTCATCGAGAAGCGTTTAGTGCGCAATCATTTCCAGAAAAAATTTGCGAAGTTATGGAATTAATGGTTAAGGTTATCAAATCCTTTAAATAGCTAAATTAGAGCTTTTAATCATCGTCAGTTTAAAGAATTTTTAGTTGAAATGGAGAGTGAAATACACAGATCTTCTGCTGCATAACAAAGTACGTCGGTTATCAGGAGGAAACGTCTCCTTATCAACAGAAATTAAAGCATTTCTCCTTGGTGTGTGTGTAATGGTGTATTTAATTCTGGCAAAGCACACGAGGGCTATCTGCCTAAGAGGAGGGATGCCTTCGTGGAGGACTTTCTAAGGAAACTGGCTCGTATACACGTTACACATGGGCAAAACCACAAAAACGCCCATGCAGCCAGCCCGTTCGCGGGATTCGAACCTCGGAACGAACTACCAGTGTTCAGCGACTTTACCTCTCGGCCGCTGGTGGGCGTATTTCTCCTTGAAAAGGGTGTTTATTATCCTGCACTAACAAACGATCAGTGGATGCAAAAATTTTATTTCGTGGTAGACGTTACGTCTCATCTAAATCAGCTTAATAAAAAACTACAGGCTAAAGGAAACACGATTTTTCGATGTTAGAAGAAGTTATTTCATTTGAAAACAAATTATCTCTTTTTGCTCAAGATTTTGAATAAGAAACTCGAAGCCTGTTGAGCAACCGCCAAGAAAATAATTCTGATATTGATATTTGGCATTTGCAAATAACAGTTTTAAATATCAAAGGAGTTTTCCTTCGTTTAAGCGCTAACATAAAAATACTGGAGTAAAAAAAATGTGGACTTAGTTCACAGCACAAGTGGCTGCTTTGAAAGATCTGGAAAAGGAACATATGTTGATTTTTAAGACATGGTGTATAGTATTACTGATTCATATTAATCAGCTGAAAAAACTAGCGTTAGCTGTTTTATCTTTATTCGAGTCTACATATTCATGCGAACAATCATTTTCAAACATGAAACTTATAAAGAGTCAATAGAGAAGTCGTCTTATTGATGAGAACTTGGAATCATGCTTAAAATTCAAAACAATACAAACCTGAGTTACAGAAACTTTCTAAGGAGATGCAAGGCCATTGTTTACATTTGATTTTGTCCGTCATTATCACGAGTTAAGTTTTTGGATACCTTACAATTTTATTTTATCAATAAATACCAACTTTATTTAGCGTAACATCAAGTTTAATTCGACTTACCTATATAGTATAGCCAAGACTTAAAAGCTGAAGTATTAAGTTAGTTTTAGGGAGTGTTGTGAAGTGAGAAAAAATATAGTGTTGAGAATTAAGAAAGGTATTTTAAGATGCTAGTTTGGACACATAGAGAGGATGAGCGAAAGAAGATACACGAAACCAGTATGTAAGACAAGTGTGGATGGGAGACCTGGAAGAGGGTCGACCTCAGCGAACGTACGTTGATCAGACTGAGGACGTTTTTAGTAAAAGCCAACGTAAGAGTACCCTAATCAAATAAATGACAATATACCTACTTATATAATTTAAGTTTAAAAAATGTGGCTTTCAAAAGTGCCTCAGCTACCAAAGTGCCAATGAACGAAATAAGGTATAGTGAAAAGATGATATTCTTTTCACCACATCTTATCTCGTTCACTTGCACTATGGCAGCTGATGATGATGGTTCGGTAAAATCATCGAAACTAGTCCTGTAAAAATTTGCAAATATAACCCTGATTTTTGTTGTATGACTTCTAAATTAAAATTTCTAATTACATATCTCATGATTTAATAAATTAATTAGATTAAAAAATGTGAAAAAAATTAAGAACTACGTTGATTACAATCGTTTCGTTTGCTACTCAGTAACAGAAAGATTAAATTTGAAAGCGAAATATATTATGCTTTACTCCATGACAACATGCTGGTGCGTGTAGATAATAAGTGTCATATTTGAAGCAGTGACAATGCATTGTCACTGCTTCAAATATAACATAGGACTACTTTCAAATAGCTAAGTTGTGGAACTGAAAGATAAATATCTTTCATTTTGACGAATGGCAGTAGTCTGGAGACCTGAAAAGTGTTTTATTTTCAACAGTTTTGCCACTTCTTTCTTTCAAATCGCTGAGTCTATTTAACAAAATTTCGTTAAATTTGCGCAAACTGTGAAATTAATGAAAAGCAAATTTGAAATTAAAATTGTCGGCTTCAAGGTGCACATGTTCGGCTGGAGGACTATTGTCTATTTAAATTTCTGTGGCACTAGGTGTCGTCGTTTTTCCGAAATGCAAGGAATATATATATAAACAGATTTTTTTAAATAATATGTCACGATAGCACTGGGCTTCAACAATCTGAAAAGTGCTTCGAACAGAACGTGATACGGGCAAAATGTGAGTTTCGAGACATAGCGCCTTTGGTGTTAACAAATAAAATGAAAAGTTCCCAACTTTCGCAGGGGTAATATACTAATTTCATTGTAAATTACTGATTGATTAAACACTCTTGTAATGATTTAGAGTTTGAATAAGACTATAAATTTCGCAAATATTTCTTAAGTAAAAACGTATTTGAAAATATGCAAGTAGATTGTACTAAAATTAGCCATCTAACCGCATTAATTCTACCACATCAGTTATAATATTTTAATGTGCATTAATAATATTTCCATTCATTTTCGAACTGTAACCAAAACTTGCCTATATCTTCAAGTGATAAATGTAAGAATTTTATTATTTTTATGACTAACTTGCACTAAATCTAGTTAATGTTGGTTCACATTTAGAGCAAGAATTAATGCAGGAAATGTTATATATCTGCCATATACTGCCAACAACAAATGACGCAAAAGTTATGTGCCAGTAAAACAGTTATTCGTCTTAGGAAATGGTAACGTTACTGATGTGCGAGCTATCAATTACACACTTAAGCAAGAAAAAAGCTTTTGATAAGAAGGGAAGAATTTAGATACACTGAACAAACATTTATCATCATATTCGTAAAATACTTACAACTTAAACTGTAAAACTGGTTCACTGCAAATTTTAAAATCAAAGATACAGTCAATTAATTAATGAATCAATTTAGGATTAATAACAATTTAAATATATATGAAAACTATATTGATTTGAAAATGTTCGGAGTGACTTGACCAGTGAATTTATCTGTTTTCGTGAAGTTCAGAATGCTGTTCTCTGCTTTTGTTCGTTTTATTAATGCATGTAACTTTTAATTTTTTAATTAACTTACTTCTGTAAGGCCCGTGTTGTACATCGGTGGCGCACGAGGAGCCTGTATGTTTTCAAATAAAAAAATTATCAATATCTACTGCTATCACCGCCTAATCGGATGTTCGAGAAGTTCGGATAATTGAATAACATAGACCAACTGCTCAGAATTTACTGGGTCTTCAGCACAACTGGAGCGAAAACTAGAGAACATACGCTGAATACTTATATTGACTACTTATATTGATTAAAATTACCGCCCATTTCGATATTCAAAAAATCCGAACAATTAATAATGTCATGCAGGTTAATTTGTTTGGACCACGACCCATTCAAATATTAAAATAATCATAATTCTTTTACATAAAGAAAACAAGTATATTTACAGGGATTCCAGACTATTCGGATATTTAAGAAATTCGGATAATTTCATTACGGAGGAAAAATACCTATATTTACTGGGATCACAATATATTAGGATAATCGAAAAATCTGGCTAATTGGGTTATGTAAGTTCAAATACGCATATTCATTTCAATCTTTTTGAGTTTTAAAAAACTGGATAATTTGGTTATATAGGCCAAAAACCTGCCTTTATTCGGACCAAAGTGCATTCAAATTTCGAAAAATCCGGAAAA